TCACATCAGATTAAATTCTCAATCGAGGTCCATAAGACTTGTGAAGCCCTCAAAGCCGTGTTTCAGCATTGTATCCGTGCGGATTGGTGTAAGGAGGTGGTCTGAAACGCGGCTGATGCATCTTGGCGTTCTGCTTTCGCCGTCGTCTCATCAGCGTGCGCCAAATTTTGATGGGACAAATTCCGAGCGCATGCTGAGCGCATGCTCGGCTTTCAGTCCATACAACTCCAAAGATCCTTCTACAAGAAAATCACATCAAAAAATGCGATTATCATCAAACCCTATCATACGAGCCGCCCTCGTGGTGGCATGGCTCGCCTCAACAGCCCTCGCGATGCCTCAAGTGGTCGACCGCGAAGACCCCCCACCATCCCCACCAGCACCGCCGAAACCCATCGCGACGGCCGACCAAGTCGACATTACTCAACCAAACACCACCGCCCCTCCACCACAAGAACAAAAGCCGCCCGTTCCGATCACGGTCCGGCTGTTCCCCAGCTCACCTGGCGTCAAGAACTGCCGCGGTGCGTCCTTTGTAGACATGGAGCTTCCGCAAAACGCGTCGACGGAGCCGACGTTCACAACCAAGGATGGGCAGTGCTACAACCTACCGGGCACGGCGCAGTGCGGCATCTTCATGGGAAACAAGGCGGATGGTTGCGAGGCCAAGTTGTTTCGCGGGGAGCGGTGCAGCGCGTTTTCCAACGTTGCCGTTTTCCAGGACGAGTTGCGGCCTGTGGGCGGCTTCTTTGCAAGTATGAGCATCAAGTGCGGTGTCGTGCCCGTCGAGCCAAAGCCGTTGAGCCTGGGAGGGTTAGGCGGCAAGATGCAGAAGCCCGTTCAGGGGAAGGGGAAGAGGGCTAGGAGGGCGGTTGTGTCCGCGATACTCGACGATGACTAGATTGAGGCGGAACGCGGCAGGAAGGAAACATTGAGTGCTTTGCTTGATAGGCGTTGGGGGCTTGGGATTTCGAGCGAGACTACTCCGTACGCCCCCGGTCCAAGGCACCGGGAGGCGACGGGAATTGCGGCACGCAGACGCCGGCAGTGGAAGGATGGCATTAGCTGTTGACGAATAATGATAATACCACTTGACGACCACAGGAGACTTTCTCTTTTAGTGAGGCAGTCCGATTAGCTGTGGCCCTAGCCACCCCAGTAACCTGCCAAAGCCAAGTTCCAATCAGTCTGTCGTTCTGGGTCTCATGACGTGGGACGTTAGACCAAGCAGTACCTGGTGGACGAACGTGGTCGGTTTCTCGGCTCATCAGACCTAATTCACGTCTGACCGGCTTGATGCCTCGGGTTCATCATGCTTGTGGCGACCAAAAACAACGACCGTCGTGCCAGAGGGAGGATCAAACAGGAGGGGGCCACAGCCGGACCACATCGTTCACAATCTTTTCTTGCGGTTGATTGGTCTGTGCTTAGGGGAGGAGAATTGTGAGACACCCTGCTTGGCGATCATGGACTTTGAATCTGGCCCCGTTTGCTGAGCTTATTCTTGATGGTCGTATTGCAGATTGGAGACTATGGGAACGCTCTTCTCTCAATCTCAAGTTTGGCAAAAGAAAAAGAATTCGCCAAAGGATCCAACGGCTTTGAACGTGCTCGTTCATACGAAGAAACAAGCTAGCCACGGCGTCCCAAGTCTCTGGCGTGGCTTTCACCCAAGACACCAGACCGTCTGATCTGAGATCCCAAATGTGTCATCTCGTCTCAGACGCTCCAGCCCCTTGCACTGACAAGAACACCCTCCTACCCAGTGTCCCCCCTTCCTCCTATCCTCCATGTCAGTTATGGCACATATAACGACACAGACTTCCTGGATCCCTCTTTTTTCAGTTGCCTGCTGCCACTCTTCCCTCATTTTTGAACGAGTCATCCTTCTTTTCTCTCCTCTTTCCTTCTTTCGGGGTTGTATTCCTTCATTTCTCAGTGGCCGGCCACTTTTAAGCTTTTGGGTTGTCATTGAACTTTATCGGCTGGTTTCTGTCGTAGTCCTTTCAGTCAACTTGAAGCTCTCTCACGACCTATCTTGTCTACCTTTCATAATACAACACCGCCCATTTCCCCATATCATCTTTCGTTTAAGCTCTACATCAAAGCGAAAAGTGTCACCGAAAGCCAAGATGCAGCAGTCAATCTTCACCAACCTCTTCTTGGCGGTCTCCCTCATGAGCACCGCCGCTTTTGGCAAAGCCATCGAGGTCCCGGCCCCGGGCCCCGCCATCGTTGTCCGCCAGACGGCCCCCACGACGCCTGCCCAGTCGACCATCATGTCATGCGCCGATTACTCCCGCATCGCCAACCTTTCCACCGTCGGCGCGAACAGCACCTACCGCGCCACCTTTTTCGAGGCCTCGCCCAACGGAAACCAGTTCAACGCCGAGGTCCTCGACACTGCCATCCTCAAGCTGCCGACCGTCATCATGGACCGCGCGCTGAACGAGGCGTGCGGGAACCTGACGGCGCTGGCGATCCAGGAGGCTGCGAACAACTTCTCAATCCGCACCGTGTTGCAGTTTTCGAACATCCCGCCTGCTGAGCCGCTTGATACCTCTACGCACATTATCTTTGTCTGTGCGGGTGCGTTATTCTTCATGGGTGGAATTTGGATTTCCATGCCGTGAGTGGAGTTGTCTTGAAATGGTGTTGGGGACGACGAGGGAGTGATGGGAGAGATGGGGGCAAGAAGAGCGAGAGGGAGGAGAGGACCAGATGTTCAAGTCACCCGGATTCTACAGACCTAATGTATTCTTCCTGAACCTACCCTTGAATGCGGATTTACGTTGAGTCGGATTGGGCCTTTGAAATACTACGTTTGCGTTTAGCGCGGTGTTGAACATGAATGAGATTACGATACCCAATTGAAGCCACTTATATATTACCTTGGCCGCTGCACAAACGATTCGTTTAGAGCCCTTTTCCGATCGTTTTTCTACGCTTCTCATCGGATTTGATCTGCCACAGCCTACCTCGTCCCGAAAGTCACATGCAGCGCCCCCGAAAGTTCGAAGTCTCGTTGTCCCTTTTTTCCTTGATAACGTTTTTCTGTGCCCGGAAGCTGTCAGCAAGCTACCTTAGTATCAAGTGAAATAAGGTCAAGCGGTATGACGCATCAAGCCAATCTGCTCCTTCCCATCATCCGCAAGACCAGTAAGGTAGACATACCCGGAGGAGATCGATAGCCGTGCTTAACTAGGTACTATCACGGAGCTATTTCGCCCTGATTCCCGAGCGCAAGAAATACATAAAAGTCGTAGAACGGGTCTTTCAAGATCCGACGGCTTGCATACCAGATTTACATACTTTGTTTTTATAGTATCTTTCGCCTATTTGCTCTGAAAACTCACTATGAATCATCATGGCTCGGTGTAATGGCCGACTCTCATTGGCCGGTACAGTACTAGTAGATCGGCTTGGACCCTGAATGATCTAGGCAGGCACGTGCCTCTGTCGCTCCTGCCGGTTCAAGGAATTTGATGCCTCGAGTACGTATATATCGAGCTCCTTCTCATCTTACCTTGGGCATTCTCTTTCTTTCCACTTCCAACTCTCCGTGCAACTGACAATCACAACACCTGGAAAATGTCCGAAAAAAACCACGCCATTGTCTTCGGTGCCTCGGGCCTTCTCGGCTGGGCCACAGTCGAGCAGCTGCTCTCGAACTACCCCTCCAAGGGCTCCTTTGAGAAGGTCACCGCTGTCATGAACCGCCCGATATCAGAATCCGACTCGTTTTGGCCGAGAGAGTCAGCAAGCAGACCTAGGTTGCAGATTGCTTCTGGTGTCAACTTGATTGGATCTTTGGAGGATCTCACTTCACAGCTTGAGGGCAAAGTTGATAAAATCAAGGGCGTCACCCATGTTTTCTATTTTGGTGAGAATTATTGCTAGTCTTGAACCTTCATCAGAGGATGCAGCTAGTATCTGATCATTATTGCAGTCTTCAACCAGGGCGATGGGGATGATATTGCCGAGTGCGAGATGAACTGTGGCATGATGCAGACGGTCGTAGACGCGGTTACCTCATTGTCGGCAAGCCTCCAAGCGTTCGTATACTCTGGAGGAACGAGAGTAGGTGCTTTACATCTCCAATCATAGGAAGAAACCGAGCTGATAGCCATTACACAGGGATACGGTATTTACACGCCGGGCGGAACCTTCACGCCCCCCTTGGAGGAATCAATGGCCGACAACCTCCCCGAAGACTACACAAAGACCGTCGCCTACCCCTGGTGGCGCAAGATCCTCGCAAAGGCAAGCAAAGGCAAGCCGTGGACCTGGTCGGAAGTTTGTCCGGACGCCGTAGTAGGCTTTTCGCCAAACGGCTCTGGTTTCTCGCTGGCACTTCACTGGGCGCAGTATCTATCCCTTTACGCTTATAACAACAGAGTGTATGAGAAGTCCAATGTGATCATAGAGGTTCCGTTCCCCGGAAACCAGGACGGATACAACAGCCTTTGCACACCCGTCTCTTCTCGAACTCTCGGGCGCATCGCCATCCACGCATCACTCCATGGCGACGAGTGCGGCGGAAAGGTCATCAATATGGCCGATAGAGAACAGCCTACCAAGTTTAGTGACCTCTGGCCGTCGCTCGCTGATTGGTTCGGATTGGTAGGCGTTGGACCGAAGGAGAACGATAATGCAGAGAAGCCTGGAGAGTACGTCAAGAAGTACGGGCAGATCTTTGAAGAGAACGGATGCGGAAGGGCCGTCATTGCTGGTGTCGGGGGTGGCAGCGTACAGCTTGACAGTGTTGGCTACTGGCTGTCCTTCGACCGACAGCTGAGCTTGCAGAGACTGAGGTCAGTTGGGTTCACCGAAGAGAGAGATCCCGTTGAGGGCTGGCTGGAGGCGTTTGAGAAGTTTAAAGAAGCGAAGATTATCTTGTAGTAGTGTATACATGAACGATAAAGAAAGAACTTATGTTGAAGAAGCCAACTATGTAATTTGAAATCCTCAAGAAGACTGTCATTCACCCCTCCGCAACTTCACGGCTTTCCTCTGAGTGTCAAGGTGGAGTTCCCTTTCATCCCATTGCGGACATTGTCATACTGAGAAGTCGGATACGACAACAAGTTCTGCGACTGGTCAAGCTTGCCCATCCCTTTCGCCATACTACGAACGAGACTCTCATCACCCGCCTTGTCGCCTGTAGCCTCCCAAAACATGGCGCCGCCGAGCCTCTTTCTTTTAATATAAGCCTGCTTATACTTTGCGCTCCTCATATCGTCAAAGGTCACCAACTCTCGCGTGACGTTATTGTAGGAATACGTGGCCTTGACTGCACTATCCCAATGCACTGTTGCACCGGGCCGGGGGAGGTCTTTGTACAGATAGATCCCGGCTTGGCCGAGTGTGCCATTCGGTAGCCCGTTGTACGATTTCCCAAGCCCTTTGGTGTTGCTGAATGCACGGCCATAGAGGGGCATGCCGAGGTTTATCTTCGCTGGAGAAATCCCTCCTTCTCCCACGTAGTCCTCGAAAGCCCTCTCGACGCTCGCCTTAGTGCTCTGCGGGTTCCGCTTGCTGCGAAAGACGTTGGACTGGTGACCTGTAGTGTTCTCCCAGGCACCAGAAAAGTCGAACGCCATGAGTGACCAGAAATCTAGCGACTTGTCCATCGCTTGAAAGTCAAATGCCTTGTAGTTCTGGGGTCCTGCAGGAGCAGGAAAGCCCATAGTGAAATGGTATCCGCCTGCGTTCTTTGCTGAAAAGTCGTCCAGTCCCAAGCGAAGTTCGGACAGGAGCTTTACGCAGTTTTGATTCTTTTCAGTGGTGTTGGGGTACTCGTAGTCGATGTCGATGCCGTCCATACCAAAGTCGGCCATGAGTTTAATAGCGGAGGAGACAAATGTAGCGCGGCGAAACTTGTCTACCGCGATGGGTTCGAACTTAGGCGACCAATTGTAGCCGCCAATGGACAAAATGACTTTCATGTTTCGGTTGGTCATCTTCTTTAGGTAGAGCTGTTTGACGTGGCCGTGGGCGTTGTGACCAGGGCCAGTGGTGCTTTCGTTGCCAAAGGGCTTGCCGGTGTCGGCCCAAGGATCTGACGAGACGCTAAATTGGGACGATATCAGTTTGGTATTCTAGAGTCAAGGAAAATGCATGACTGACACAGTTCCGTTTGGTTTGATGTCTGCGAATGCGTACAGCACATGCGTGATATCTTTCACAGGAAGGTTGTCGGGGTTATAGCCCGCTCCATAGATACCCCAATTTGTTACGTATAGGAGATTCCGATGACCTTGCTTTGCAGTAGAGTTCTTTCCGCAAGGGAGGTCGGTCAATGGGCTAGCAAGTGCATGCGTTAAAGCAAGGGCTGCCACAAAAGCTTGGAACATCTTCGTGCCGTGACCGTGGAGTCGATGGGGGATTTTGATCAAGTTGGCTAGGAGAACAGCCGTGGCAGAAGCAGGTCGACCAGAGACACATTCTTTTTCTCGGCTCTTGAAGGACAATGGAAAGGGATCATTGGGACATGGCTGCCAAGAGATGGAAGCTTTCGATGTTGAGACGACGCGTCGTTTATCTCCCCAAGCTTCCGGCAACAGAGAACAGTTTCCTTAGAAAACATGCTCGTGTAACGATTGATCCCCCCGCCTCTGGGCTAATGCTATGGGATGCATTTCTGGCTTTGTGATTCTGGGGTTGAGTAGCTCGATCTTGTTGCTGTCAACCAAGTCCGTCGCAAGGCCGACGACGAACTTCAGAAAGTCAACATGGACCAATTGAATGCTTAAATGGCACAACATAGGTTCATGGCCGAACGGCTAGGCGAAGCTTCTTTCATCCTTGACTCCATTTGCCCCCCCAGAAGGCGACGGAGAATAGGGATATCCATCGTTGTAGTGTTTCAGCTTCTCAAAGCTTGTTCGCCTCTTCGAAGATTGACGTGAACCATCGGCTTCTCGTCCAGCGACCATGAATGCCCCTCAAGCATTGGCCCGAGCTCTCTGAGTTGGGATTCCAGGATGTGGATTCCATATTCCGATGCCTCTACTTCCACTATGAGGAAGTTTTTCGGTGGAGTCGGCAATGTGATGGGATATCGGGATGAAGATGTGAGTTTTTACAAGCCTTAGAATCAATATAATAGTTACTTGAATAGTTTGGTCGCTCACGATCCGAACACAGTTGAGAGGAAACGAGGACGGATGTAACTTCGGAAGACAACGTCGAGAGACAGATCCCAGCATTATGCGGGGAGGCGGGGTCAAGTCTGAGCCTTCAATAATCTCCAACTGCTTTCTAAGCTGCGGCGGGGGGGAGCCATTCGAATTCGATCCTTGACTCTCGACGGCGTTGGCCCCCTGTTCTTTTCTCCACACAAGTGCCGACCACGCGGTCGACTCGCGCGGTCCATTGCGTGTTTTGGAGCCGAACTTCTCCTCTTTTCATCCTCCTCACGGCCGACGACTCGAACTACGTGAGCGAAGGTTTGAGTAAGAGATTCTACAGCCAGCCTCATTTGGAGGCTCGAGGTTTCAGCCATGGCGAAGAGAACCTGGTCTGATGCCAACGATAACATGGAGTTTATGACGGTAGAATTGACGATCCTTCTTTGGGGATTACAGATTATAAGCTGATACTTACCCTCTTGCAGTTGATGACGGCCGGAAACGGAGAGCAGTCTTTTCCGCAAATATCCCGGAAAATTAAGGCATGTGCCGCCTGTAGAAAACACAAGGTGCGCATAGATGATCATAACCTGAATGGAACGTGAAGTGATAAAAGAGTTTCAAGTCTGACTTAGCTTAAAGATCAAATGTCTAATGGATGAGAATGGACCACCATGTCGGCGATGTTCCGAGAGAAATCTGGGTTGTGTTCTGGGCAAGAACTTGCAAAGCATCATCGACGAGAAGACACAGTGAGACCCATGACCTGAAGCAAGGCGAAACATTGGGTCGACTAACCATGTAAAGGTACAACGAGGCGGTCTTACAAGACATCGAAAACCTGCACAACACTCTGAGAGAAGTCACCAAGCAGATGGGCCTACCAGAGCCAGCGGCACTACAGAGTTCAACTCTTCAAAAAGCAGCCGAGTCCCCGTCACAGCAGAGCCGCTCCGGCCCCGGGCTGACCACCAACGCGGCCCGATTTGGCGTTACCGGGCAAGATAACCACGGTCCCTCGTGCGACAACTCACCCAAGATATCCCCCGAAGACGAAAGCCTCCCCCACGTTCCGATTCATTCACTCTACGCTCTCACAAAGCTGAGAGCGCTCAGGTCACCAGATGCCCCGGAAGGCCATTTGAGTCCAGCCCAGGACGACTTCATCGCCCGAGGTGCTTTACGTCTAGAGGACGCCGAACGCCTTTTCCGACTCTATCGAGACCGTTTAGATGCTTTCATGTATGGCGTGGGATGTAAGTACCAACAGCTAGATGAGTTGCGTCGTAAGAGCCCCATCCTAGCTGCGGCGACCCTGACTGTTGCCGCGCTTCACGACCCCCAGGCAAACAATCTCTACGGTGTCTGCAGCTCGGAATTTCGGCGGCTCACTGAGAGGTCTATGTTCGATCGGCGGGTGAATCGTGACTATCTCCGTGCCATGTGCGTGGCGTCGTACTGGCTTTCCGATATGTCTTGGATGCTGTCCGGATACGCGATACGGAGGGCGGCGGAGTGTAACCTGCACAACAGCTATACTCGCGCCATACAAGAGAAGAGCGAGGAAGCTGCTGATGGTGCACGGTTATGGTACATATTGAACATTTGCGATCAACACCTTGCCACGCTGTATGGAAGGCCGGCGATTGTGCAGGAGGACTCGTCCATGCAGCAATGGGAGAGCTTCCTTCAATCCCCAATATCTACTGAGGAAGACAAGCGCCTCGCAAGTCAGGTTGCATTATTGGGAATTATTGGCAGCATTCGAGAGCTCTTCGGGCCTGACAAGGGTCAACCGACCCCGCGAGCCTACGTTCACCAAATCACCCACTTCAATAAGGAGCTCGATCACTGGATCAAACTTTGGTCTGAGACACTATCAGGTGCGTCAGTCCAATACTAGATCTGCTGACTCTTGATGATACTAATACACATCCAGAACAATATCAACACATAGGCCGCTTCCCTCGGAAAGGCGCTCTTCTCCATTTCCACTTCGCCAAGCTGCACCTCTACTCCCACATCTTCCGAGGCCTCTCAGGAGACATCCCGATACCGCACCACTTCCTCGACTGTGCCGCGACGGCAATCGCGGTAGCGACATCAACCATCGACTTCATCATAACTGACCCGGACGTGGCCGCAGGAGTAGTCGGCATGCCGTCGTACCTGCACTGTATGACAGCCTTTGCCTGCATGTTTCTCATCAAAGTGGCAGTCAAGTATGGCGGCGATCTCATCGAACCGGACCGCGTCTGGAACCTGACCACAAGCCTTGTACGGCACTTCCGATCTCTACCAGCCGGTCGGTGGCATTTGGCGAATCTCATGGCGCCGGGTCTCGAGCGCATGGCCAGGACGTTGAAGTCTGGTCGAGGGGAGATATCAGCCCAGGTATTGGAGGCGCAGCCGCTCAATGGAGACCACTCAGACGTGATTGACCCTCAGCTTGCCGGTAGTAGTGCTGATGGAACTCTGATGGGTCCGGAAGGGGAGTTCTTCTTCGACTATGATATGAGTTTCGGCCTGTCCCCGGTGTTCCAATTCGATATGACATCGTTGAATGCAGATGGTACAACCCTGACGGGTCAAGACTTCTCGAACATGGAATATCAGATGGGAAGACCCGGTTCATGAATAGGAGAAAAAAACGTTGCAACTGTTCATTGTTGCTCAAGACTTGTTGTTCGTACGCTTGTAATTATCTACATACCCTGAATATTCCTCGGTCGATACTCGCTCTCCAGGTACTCCAGTTCCTCCTCCGTTAGCTTGACCTTGAGCGCCCCTACCGTCTCCTTGATTCTCTTTTCAGAACTCAAGCCCACAATCGGCCAACACCCCTGCTGCAGCACCCAAGCAGTCGATACGAGCGCCATACTGACACCCTTCTTCTTTGCGATCTCTTCAACTCGGTTGACAATGTCCAAGTTCGCGTCTGCAAACCACGCCTGCGTCTTCTTATCGGTCTGACTACGCAGCGACTTGCTCTCATCTTTCTCTTTGGCCAGGGGCTTCGCCAGCAGCCCGCGAGCGATTGGCGACCACGGAATGACACCTACGCCGCTCGCGCGGCAGAATGGCAGCATCTCTCGCTCCTCTTCACGGTAGAGAAGATTGTAGAATGGTTGCATTGAGACGAACTCTGTCCAGCCGTTGGACCGCGCAATATACTGCAGGCGGGCGAACTCCCATGCGTACATGGATGAGGCTCCGATGTAGCGGACTTTGCCAGACTGGACGACATCGTGAAGGGCTCGCATTATTTCTTCGGGTGGTGTTTCGCGGTCGAGGCGGTGGATCTGGAGGACATCTACGTACTGTTAGCTTCCGGCACGTTTCTCATGGCTGACACCTGGAGAAATCTTACCGATGTAATCCGTGCCAAGGCGTTGGAGGCACTGGTCGACGGCATGGAAGACGTGTTTTCTGCTTAAGCCCATCTGGTTCACAAGCGGACCATCGTTGACGCTGGCGGGTCTGGAGTCGTCGTCCGGCACGGGGTTGAAGATCTTGGAGAGGATGACGACTTTTTGGCGCGGGATGTTAAACTTCTTCAGAGCCTTGCCGATGACCACCTCGGACTTTCCATTAGAGTATGTGTCTGCCGTGTCCCAGGTGTTGATGCCGTTATCGTATGCTGCCTTGAGGATTTGGAGTCCTTCTTCTTCGTCTAGGACCCATGGTGAGCCCTCCCATTTGGAGGAGCCAAAGGTCATGCATCCGAGGATGATCTTAGAGACCTTGAGGCCTGTGTTGCCGAGTCTACATGATGATTATCAGCATTTGTAAAATGCCCAGAACGCTTATGGCAGTTCACTCTGCTGTAGCGGGGTGACTTTTTTCACAGGGTGAGAGTGGTTATGGCTGGAAACATTGTAGCACTAACCTCACGTATTCCATCTTGTTCACCCTCAAGTATTGCCGGAGAGGTCTATCAATTGAGCCTGATTGAGCCTTGTTGTACAGGGCAAGTAGCTCTCTTCACCAATTCTGATCTTGAGTTCACACAGAAGCCTGGAGGTTTTGTTTTGTCCCATCGCGTCATTCTACCGTGCTCTTCGGCATCACTCCATCGGCTTTCAGCTCTGTCGCCGGGATCCCTAACTACCCCTGTCGCCTCCGACTGCGCGATGCCCCTCTCACGCAGTGCGGGGAAGCTCCCGGGCAGAGATCCACCGGTGGGATGATCGGCATACTCACCGATGTCCGGATTAGAAGACCTGCATCGGCGACATGTCCGGCCTCCATGTTCTGAAGTCTGAACCTCGCAGATGGCAGCATATCCGTCCCTGAGAAGCCGGATATGTTCGGTAACTGTGTAGAGGCATAAGGAGAAACTTCGGCGACGTAGCCATGCAAGCAAACTGTACCCCTCATGACGGTACAGCGAGATCGGATCAGTTAAAGCCGAGGAGCACGCGATCGCGTCTCTTTTGAGAGAAGACGCGTAAAGACTTCCTCGCTGCAGAGCTTTGTTTCCGCACGACTTGTCCAAAGGAACACATGAAGAAACTTGAGTCAAAATGTCGAATGAAATTCTCGTAACTGGCGCTGCAGGCTTCGTCGGCCAGGCCCTCGTCTCTGCCCTCATCAAATCCGACCCCTCAACAACTCTTACAATCACAGATGTCATCGAACCACCCATCCCCGACGATGTGGTAGGGGAAAGCAGCAAAATCAACTCCCTGAAAGCCGACCTCACCGACCCGGCAGCGGTGAGCTCCCTGCTCTCGAAGCAGTTCTCTGCCGTCTACCTCCTGCACGGCCTCATGTCCGGCGGGGCGGAAGCGAACCTCGATCTGGGCCTCAAAGTCAACCTCGATTCCGTCCGCGCCGTCCTCGACCATCTCCGCAAGAACTACCTCGGCACCACGGTTGTGTTTACCAGCTCGTGCGCCGTGTATGGCCCGCGCCAGCCCGTTGTCGAGAGCGAGACTGTGCCGAAGCCGCGGACGTCGTACGGGACCGAGAAGCTTATTATCGAGTTGCTTGTGGAGGACTTTTCGCGGCGTGGGCTTATCAACGGTCGCATTGTGCGACTTCCGACAGTCACAGTGCGACCTGGCGCGCCATCTGCTGCGGCGTCGAGCTTTGCGTCGGGCATCGTTCGCGAGACTCTGAAAGGGATCAAGAATGCGTTGCCTGTTAGCCGCGATCTTGAAGTTTGGGTCTGTAGCCCCGCTACGGTGGTGAAAAACCTTGTCAAAGTCAAGGACGTGCCGAAAGAAAAGTTTGGTGAATCGAGAGTGGTCAACTTACCTGGTATCACCGTTACGGTGCAGGAGATTCTCGATGCAGTGGAAAAGGTTGGTGGCAAAGAATCGCTCGCGCTCATCGAAGAAAAGAAAGATGACGCTATTTTGGCTATTGTAGAGACATGGGCCGCTCGGTTTGATGTGAGAAGAGCGTATAGCTTGGGCTTGGAACCTGATGGTACGATTTTGGAGGCTGTGGAAGCATTCGCGAAGACCCTTGAAGCATGATCTTGTCATGGAGTGACCAGTGCAGATCCTGCGTGGTAATTATGGAATCAATGAATCATTCTTCAATTTCGCTTCAGACTCTGCCTATGTGCGAATCTATCCTTCATATCAGTAGCCTGCGATAGCTCGTGGCTTCGGACTGAAACACGAGTGGCCTGCAAGGGATAGTTCTAAGCACATCAACACAATCCTCAAAGTCCTCAACATCGTGCTACCTTGGGTGTTATTATGCGACCGTAATCATGTGAACCTGACTTATTTACATCTTGGTCTATGCTAGAGCCTTGATCGTGGCCTTCTCACAGGCCTCTTTTGCCGGGCTCGATCCTCGGAAACCACCAAATGGTCAATATCCAGCGTGTTGACCATCGCGGGAGTAGCCTGGCTTAGGCTAGTAATGCCACAGAGTCTCATCGAGGTCTCTAACTCGTCTTTCAGAACTATGGTGAGTTAGGGAGTCAGCTTCTACCCTCAGAATATATCGTATGAGAAGGGGCTGGGACTTACTTTGAGAGAGGTGCTCTACGCCATCCTGACCATAAACGAGAGAGTACAAGAACGGTCTCCCAATACCCACAGCAGTTGCTCCAAGGGCGATTGCCTTGAGGATATCCGATCCGCGCTCGAAACCGCCATCGATATAGACCTCGAGCTTCTCGAATATTTCGGGACATTGTTCTTGGAGTTCTAGCAGAACTAGGATTGAGGGTTGCGACCTTGCATCCAACTTTTGTCAGCGTTCTGGTTCATCACAGGCGAATTTCCAAGCTCGAAAACTTACCCATCCAGAGATCGACCACCGTGGTTGCTCAAGAAGACTGCTTCAACTCCGTACTCGACCGCCAATCTGACATCATCGGCAGTTTGGACACCTTTGAGCACGATGGGCACTCTGCTAGCTTCTCTAATCCAGATTAGGTCCTCCCATGTAATCGACTTATCGATATACTGCGCCATCAAGCGTCCCAGTCCACTGCCCTTCTTATCTTTGCTGCTTTCGGCGCCGCTGATGGCAGCTCGGATCGTGCCTGCCTGGGCTGCGCGCTCGTCTGCCTCCCTCTTTCCGGGCACGGGAGCATCGACAGTCACGAAAATTGCTTTGATGCCTAGTGCGCGAGCTGATCGGAGGATCTCGATTGTTTTATGACGCTCTGAGTTGATGTAGAGCTGGAAGAAGAAGGGCTGTGTCGGCGGTGCGGCGGATACGATGGACTTAAGAGTGTAGGATGCGTTGCTCGAAATCTGAAGGATCATGGTCAGCTCAAACGCCTCTCAAATGAGTTCAATAGTAGTCGAAAACTCACACATTGAATGATCCCTTCATTTGCCGCGCCGCGACTGAGAGCCAGCTCACCATCTGGATGCACTAGCTTTGCCATAGCGGCAGGCGAAATGAAGAACGGAGCCGAGCTCTCGTACCCAAGAATATTTGTCTGCATATCGATGTATGAAACATTTCTGAGAATCCTTGGCCGGATCATGATGCGCCTTGTAAGCTGCTTGTTGTTCCGGTGTGTTATCAGATCGGTGGCGGCAGAAGAGTAGAACGCCCATGTCTTCGGCGTCAGTGCTTTCGAAGCTACGACCTCTAGATCTGGGGCGCCGATGATAGACTCTAGGGGTGGAATGGCGTCTTCTTCGGTGGACTTGGTTTCCGTAGTCTCGGCGGGTGCATTTACTGCACCATTCCTACTCTCTGACTGAGATGCAGCTGCAGGCACATCTGGAGTGGCATCTTTCAGCATGCCGATGAACTTCTCGTCTGGTAGCTCCTCAAGGATATCTGGTGCGTGGACTTCGTCGAATATCTTTGTGGCGTTTGAGCCGGCGCATCTGAGAAGGACTGACAGTTGCTCATTCGTCAGTTTTCCACATGCAGAGACAGGAGCTAGTAGGTTATGCCAGACTCACCTGACGGACCTCCCGGATGCTCGTTGATGAAGTCCGTGATATCCCAGACTTTGGAGTGCACTGCTATCCAACAATCCGATTTGGTATTGTGCTTGCTGAGATCAGTCACACTTATCGTGGCTCTCTTGCTTTCCTCAATCTTTGTCGTCATTGTGTTTCGAATTTTGCTGGCGTTCGGACTCGCTCCTCGCCAGCTCACAAGCACATCCCAAGGTATCCAAGTGACTAGTCGCAAGAGAATTCTCTTGCAAAACGGAGTTTTGTCAAGCACGTTAAAATGGTGTAGCTTAATGTTTAGATCCAATTACCCATTCCCTGAAGTTGCCACAGCCACGGTCAAACCCTATCAACCCCTACACCGCGTTTATCTGAGACTTGACGGCATCTCGGATCGCCTCACAGATCGCGACATCCCCGTCATTCCGGCCGGTGCTTTGCCACCCCTGTTAGCTCCGCACGCTCGTCCCCCACGTCTCGGTATTCTCGCCGATGTGGGCCGCGGGTAAGCAACCATGGCTGGCAAGCCTTGATTCTCGCATCGTAAGCAAATGACTTCTTCATTACGAGTCTTCAAACATGGCTGATACTACTGGACGAAGCTACTACGGCAAGGAAATGATGGGTTAGTTGCGTGATCGGAGCGGAAGCCGTGTGGGATGTGATTCTTCGCAATATGCTGGGCGAGGACCTCTCTCCGCAATTGTCTCCGCATATTGAGAATTGGAGTTGGATATTATGAGGGGGTGACTTTCTCAACCAAAAGTGAAGTTGCCTGGCTATCATCCTGGTTCTCGGTACTCAAGTCCATCCTAACATCACTGGAATCATCTTCGTGCTACGCCTGACTACTATTACTTTTTTTTTTCCTCTATATTCTCATACGCTCACCAGTACCTTCGCGATGCCTTCCAGCACCATCACACCTAAGTCGAAGCCCCTCCCGCCGGGGGTCTACACCCCCGTCGTCACAATCTACAAAGCAGGCGATCCTCTGCAACCCGTAGACCATGATGCGCTTTACAAGCAATGCCAGGCGTTAGTCCGCGCCGGGATGCACGGCCTAGTCTACCTGGGAACCAACGGCGAGCTCGTCCTTCTGACAGCCGATGAGCGCAAAGCCATTCTCGAAACAGCAGTGCGCGCAGTCAAAGACCTCGGGAAGCCCGACTACCCCATTGTAGCTGGCATATCCGCAGAGTCGACCCGTGAAGCCATTCTCAACGCCAAGGATGCCGGCGCAGCGGGCGCAAGTTTCGGACTCTTGCTGCCGCCCAGCTACTGGGCCAAAGCCCTGTCCAGCGACGCGATATTGGGATACTACCGGGACGTCGCGGATAACTCACCCATCCCTATTGTCATTTACAATTTCCCTGGCGTCACGTCCGGTGTGGACCTCGATTCGGACCAGATAACCGCTCTCGCGTCGCATCCCAACATTGTGGCTGTGAAATTGACCTGCGGTAACGTCGGCAAGGTGACTCGTTTGACGAGCAAATTCGCGCATGAGCAATTTGGTGTTTTTGGTGGTAGCAGCGACTATCTTCTTCCTACACTACAGGCTGGAGGGAGTGGTTGCGTAACAGGCATGGGAAATATCTTTCCGGGTTCAACGTCAGCCGTGTATGATCTATGGAAGGCCGGGAAGGCTGACGAAGCTCTCAAACTGCAGTATGATGTTGCGAATGCGGAATGGGCTTGCAAGAAGGGTATTGCCTTGACAAAGTACGGTGCTTGGCACTTCTTTGGTCGTGATATTGGGCTTACTGACGAATCATCGTGGGAGATGAGGCGCCCGTATCTACCACTCGGCGACGCCACTAAGAAATGGGCTTTAGAAACACTTGGGGTACTTGGAGCTACAGAAAAGCAAAGGTCGTGGAGCAAATAGTTACTTTGTAGATCGGGCATGTATAAGTCGTTACTGGTAGTTGACTTGTACTCATGTTCTTATCTCAGTCAAGACCATTCTGCATGCGGTCGCAACTGCAATGAGAACATATCAAATCACTCATAAATTGCTGTTGAAAATGCAGAAGATGTTGCGCTGTAATGTCTTGGTATTAAAGTAAGAATGGACGTAAGCTTTGGAAGTCAGAGGGTTGGTGCAAGATTTGGAGTGTATCCATTGATCACTGAGTATTATCACCGATCGATCTTGGAAGTGAAATCTCAACGCGAGAGCGGATGCATCTTGACACCTGACATTAAACTAGGCCTGATCTAACCAGTCCTCTATGTTGTCTATCCTAACGTACTTAACGTACTGGCGATGGAATGTGAAAGCAATATGCACGCTTTCCTTCTCAACAAAGATGCTAGGATAGCTCAACTCCCGATTCGTTTTCTCAATTGAGTTGTTCGTCATGCAAAACCCGTCACCTTCCTCAAGGACCTTCTCCTTCCATGTTAAGCCATCGTCGCTAGACACAGCAACCGTCAGTGTTTTCCGCGGGGTTCCCCAAATCGCGTTTTTCCCATTCACCGAAGCTTGATTCGGTCTCTTGTCGTCTTCTGGTGTGATATCATCATAGAGGCCCTCTCGCTTGGCCATGTCAGGTTCGGCAGCGGAGCGATTGAATACAATGGCCAGGTTTCCTGATGGCAGTCGTGCGGCACAGATGCCGCTGTTAGGGTTCGGAAGAGATGTCGCCTTGGGAGGAGCCCAGTTCAAACCATCTGACGATGTTGAGCGGTAGACGTTGTCTGCCCATCGACTGCGGAAGAACGCAATGTATTCGAAACCTTGACTCTTTGGCGCGATGATGTTCATGTGTACAGAGCCAATGCTGTCAGGCACAGCATCCTCGGTCCACGTTTGACCGTCGTTTTTGGAGTAGAACACGGCAGAGATGTCATTGTTGCCGATCCACCGTTGACCAGGCGTCGATCGGCAATGGAACACTGGAAGGACCCAAGTTCCGTCCTCGAGGACGACAAGAGGCTGGCGCACAAACGCCCCAGTGACACCATTCAGAGGATAGCGGGGCGGTGACCAGGTCTTGCCACTGTCGCTTGAGGTGCGAGCCATGATGATGGCCCCATCTTGATTACCAGCATCTTGAGAAGTATGGAAGAGCCAGATGTCTCCCGTCTTGGGTGCTCGGAAGAGCACCGGGTTCTGGCAGCTTCGGTTGATGTCTGAAGAGATCTTTTCGGGCTTCGACCAGGAAGCTGCGTCTGGCTCTTGACGAGATAGCCAGATGCTAATATCTGGAAGGCCCTCTTGGGACCCCCCGAACCACGCGCATAGGAGAGTCTTATCGGGTAGTTGGAGTAGGTTGGAGGCATGGGACTGAACTGTTGCCGTGGGGATGGCGGCAGTCTGCAGGTTTGGAGACATTGCAGGCCTAGTTGTGCGGACGCCTTGGTATCAAACGAGATTGGGAACTGGAAGTATGTCTAATAAGAAGCTGGCCGAAGAGTACCCGTAATGGTAGGTTGTCTACTATCGATCTAGCCACCAGTCTGGTATCACCACCCTGCAGAGCCAGGTTGAGTCTATGTATTGAGTCGAACCACGTTTGCCAAGTACGACCCCGAGACGCACTTTCCTCCCACGCTTCCCCGCACTCAACTGCCCTCGCCCGCCGGCGCGATTTCCGGCCCCGCAATTCATAACCTCCCGGGGAGCCCCCGTCCATGCTCCGTGTCAGAGGCGTTTGGAGAGTTCTGGGCTAGGACAAGTCTCCGAATTTCCTATTCTGTCCAAGGCCAAAGAATCAACATTGACAGCCACACGACGTAGGTTATTCAGCGTAGGTTATTGTCTGTCTTCCTGAATACGGGGCAAGTCAGAGATTGAGCAGGCGACGATCAACCACTGTCAAATAGCACTACGATGCAACCTGATGACACCTCATGACTACGGCCTTCTCCCCGATAATTGTATTGGTTGATTTTCCATGGGCACCCCCATGCAGCCATGGATTGAGAAATGCTGTGGATTACGCGGGGTAATTCGGCTCCTGTAACTTGCTCCCCATGGGGGAAGTTGAGTCTTGTGCTAGGGCCAGTTCGTGAAATGGGGGTCGAGTCAGTTTATCCGGGTATATGATACAGTTGCAACCTTCTATTGACTTGCTCTAAAACCAAGAGAGTGCCAATATAGAGTTCCTGTTCCGACGAACTCACACTTTTACAACACGCAACTACTTTCAACTTTCGCTGGAAGACTCTCTTCGACAATGGGCGGCGGAACATCACTATGGGCTTCTCCCGACTGGAAGAAGGACCCAAGGGAGATCTTCAACTCCAAGCTTCTTCTGTTAGGCATCACAATAGCCTTTGCGGGATGTTCATATGGCTTTGACCAAGGAAATATCGGAGGCATCATGACGTTTCCATCATTTCGGCGGGCCTTCGGCTTTGATACTATCAGTGAAGAAGAGGCGAATACGCGAGGTAACTTATTCTTCTGCTGCATCACGCCTATGCTATCTACTGCTGCTAACGCAAGTACAACACAGAGGGAAATATAGCCGCCATGCGTAAGGAATTCCCGAAGTCTGATTAAGGCTTCCCCTTCTAATGTGTCCTTTCTAGTGGCTGCCGGTGGTACTGGAGGTGCTTTGCTAGCAGCGCCTCTGTCCGATTTCCTTGGGAGGAAGAAAGCTGTCACGTCAATGGCCGCTCTGTTCCTCGTTGGCTGCTCGATGCAGGAGGTTCCCAACTTGAACGTTCTTTACGCCGGGAGACTCTTGGCTGGTGTGGCCATCGGAGCGACCTCCATGGTAAGAACCCGGTCACGGTGATCTCGAGAGCTCAGCCGTGAGACTAATGCAAAACTTGCAGTTGGCTCCCCAGTACCTGGCAGAAAACTCCCCAAAGTCTATCAGAGGCTCCCTTACCACATCCTATAACCTGATGATCATCCTGGCGCTTGCTATTGCCTTTTGGGTGAACTATGCAGTCAGCCTTTGGCCGAATCAGGATCCCGACAACAACAAGGCTTGGCAGTTGGCTCTTGGCATTCAATTAATTCCCGGCTTTTTTCTATTCGCTCTTATTTGGTGTAAGTCCGCGGTGCTCCTCCCAACGCCTGACAAGCAACATCAATACTAACAATGATCATCTGGATAGTCGTCGTTGAAACCCCCCGAGCCCTCATTTCGAAAGGCAAACAAGAGCGTGGCCTCAAGAATCTGTGCAAGCTGAGAGGCCTGCCCGTCGAACACCCATACGTACACCAAGAGTATCTGGAGATCCTGGCGCAGTCAGAAGCCGAGCAAAGCCAAGCAAAGGGTACGTCAAGTCACAGCACATGCAAACACCAGAACAGACCTGATCAATAGTCTTAGGCCATGGCTACATTGTGGTTGTGAAAGACATCGTCACCAACGCTAGTAACAGGCGAAGACTATTCCTCGCTGTAATGCTCTTCCTTTTCCATAAGCTAACAGGTACGAGTGCCCAAACTTCCCTCCAAATCATTCTGTGCACGCAAGCTGACCGGGCGTGCCTCTAGGTACTGACTCTTTGAACTACTTTGCGCCACAAATCTTCGCCATGATTGGAGTTCCCAAAGGGTCGAGTTCTCTCTTGACAACTGGAGTCTATGGAGTTGTGAAGCTTGTGACAACAATCGTTTACGTCACTGTTATTGTCGATCGAGTCGGGCGTCGTCTTCCTCTCATGATTGGGGCTACGATCCAAGCTACTGCGATGCTCTACATCGGACTCTTCCTTCGCTTCTCCGACGTTCAGCCTGGGAGTGGGACAACTCCTGGTGGCATCGTGGGCATCATCATGTGAGTAAACATGTCCTGTAGCTGTGAAGGAATTACCATCTCTAACGTCATATTAGGATTTACCTTTATGCCTTTGGCTGGTCTTTCGGCCACTCTGTCGCACCATACGTGGTGGCCGCTGAAATCTTCCCCTCGCGAGTTCGATCGGTTTGCATGTCCTGCTGCCTCTTCACAAACTGGATCGTGAACTACGGTATAACCTCCGCCACACCGCACATGCTGAGCACCATGAAGTATGGCACGTTTTTGTTCTTCTCCATCATGACGTATATCGGTGTCATCTTCGTCTTCTTCTGTCTCCCCGAGCTCAAGGGCCGAAGCATCGAATCCATGGACGATCTCTTTGCGAATTCGCTTTGGACTATGTTCAAGCGTGCCTACCCCACTGAAGATGAGAAGGTTAGGCATGATGTTCAGGAGCAACTGCAGCATGAGGAAGATAAAGGTGTGTCGCATGTAACAATGGTTGAGGACAGTGGCAGGCGTGCTTAAGCGATTAGCAACTACCTCATGATTTGGGAATTCGGGCCATAAATACGGTCTGCAAAAGGAAGATTCTTTTGTTCTAAGCACGAAAGGAAACATTGATTACGTAGCGAATGCAAAGTCATCACTCTCCATAATACCTTCTGAACTACCAGAAGCTTTCCGCAATTTTGTTCGGTGGCTTAGTCTGGGCTCCAAACATTGAACTCGAGTCATGCGCCCCAACGACTGGCTGATAACGAAAGATAGTGACCGAGAAAGAACCCTGGCGTTCTGATAAGACAAAGTGAGGAAAGAGATAAGTCTGCCAAATTGAACTAGCGAACAAGCATTGCAGCAAAGACTCAAGAAGCAGTGAGGGTCCGATGACGCTCGTCCATGGCGGGGAAAAGACATTCGTCCCGACACAGCGGTGCTAAGACAGAACAGGCAAGTGTCCCAGTAATAGGTGCATGGAAACTTCCGTTATTTCTCCCTGTAATCCACTCACTGTGCTTGGGCCGCTGGAAGGGTCCCTCTTTTTCCTTCTTGACATCAAGACCCTCCCATGTATTTGTTGTTCGTTACGCCTAACACGCCGGACTTGGACCACAGCAACGTTGCTTGCCTGTTAAAATGGAAGGTCAACCCGAGATGGTGATATCTTCACCTTTTCAATCAGAAACGCGGCGTCGAAAGGGCTCCAAACACGACAAAACGGGATGTCTGACCTGCCGATATCGGTAAGCCCGCCTCACCGGTAATCATGTCTCACTCACCGCGGACCTCTCATTCTGATAAGTGTCTCTGAACGTCAGGAGAAAGAAATGCGTCGAGAACACGTTCCCCGTCTGCGGAACATGCTCCAGATTGAATCTGAGATGTGTTCGATCGACGGCTCGTGATGTGGTTCCGACGACCTGGGCGGAGCAGAAAAAGATCACGGCACAGGCGACGCGACCATCAACGAGAGATGACTCGACTCAACCACCATCATGTTTTCCACTGCATGCTTCACCGCCAGGCATCGATCAGGCCGAACCGCCCCAGAAGCGACAAGTGATGCGATACTATATCACAGTGTTGAGTCATTATTTGACTGCAAGCGAGCAGGTTAACTCTTTTCTATCAGGTGCGCTGAATTCCTCACCCTAGAAATGAACCAAACGTACCCTCATAAGTCTTGGCGGCCCGTGATTGACAATTACTTGACTTCAGAATTCCTACCTATGGCTATGGAGTCGAGCGTGCTTTACGATGCGCTGGTAGCCTTTGCTTCTGGTCACTTATCGCTCTCGAATGAGTCATATCGAGTCTCTGCCTTGGAGGCACACTCGACAGCAATTACCAACCTCGCCACAGCCCTCAGCCAACCGCAGCATGAGATCACGTGGTACGAGACCAAAGCGGCAACATGCTTAGCCTTTGTCATTGGTGAGGTATGCGTGGGAGACAACGACGGGTGGAGTGCTCACCTGAACGGCGCCAAGCTTATCATTGAGTCCGCCGTGGCCAACTCCAGCTCAGGCACAGTCTTGCGAGGTCCGGAAGTCTTCAAACGGAGCTCCGAGGGCCAGTGGATTCTTCGAAACTTTGCATATCACGACATGATTGGCAGCGTGACAATGCGGAGGAGACCGCTACTGGACTGCAGCTATCTGGATGGTATCACCGATGTTGTGGACACCTACCTAGGCGTGGCCACGGATCTTTTGCGCCATGTTGCTACTCTGAGTAGTGTCGACGAAGAGACCAGGCTGGACGTTGATATTGGAACGGAGGAAATAGCCAGGAGAAAGGAGGTGTTCCAAGCCACCTGTGAAGAAGTCGAGCAAGAACTGGAAGATTGGCGGTGCAGACCAGACGCCGCTCCAGAACTTGCTGCTCTGGCACATGCATTCAGAAGCGCAGTTTTGATTGTCCTATTCCGACTGATTCGAAGTCGACTGAGTTCGGAGGAAGGGTCTACTCGAGACGAAAGCTCCGAAGCAACGACATGGGACGTACTACCCACAAAGTTGCGGACGCAGGTGTCCAACATTTTGAGGCACGTATCCAATATTCCGGTTGGGTCACACACAGAGTCGGCAATACTCTTTCCTCTCTTCCTTGCCGGCGGCGAGGCGACTGAAGAAGAACACATGGATGCTGTCCGTGTTCGGTTGCAGATGACGTTGCAGAAACGACGATTCCAGAACATTTCTCGCTCTTTAATAATACTAGAAGAACTATGGCAAAGGCTGCAGAGCTCTGCTTCGACGGAGAAGGTAGATTGGACCGACATCTTGGACGAAACTGGGGAACATCTACTCTTGACCTAGAGCCGGGTCTCGGTGTTGATGCACTTGTGTCTACTACTTATAATAGAACTGCGCATATTAACACTGGATGGATGTATAGAGTGTGAGGTCGGCGACCATGTATGAACCATACTCATCGAGCGATATTGCACCAATAGTCTTTAAGCTCACAACTAGATCTAGGATGGTCAGGATGATCGGCACCTTTCCTTACCCCGCCTTGGGCCGACGCAAAGCCTCCACACACGCCAGATACGCCATGCAGATACGCCTTGAACCCACATAATACCGTATCAGATAGTTAACCTCCAATCTCGGCCGGCGTTCAGACGAAGAGGACGATAACGATAGAAAGTGGTACGCTTACAACTATATCTCTAACCCTCATCCCGCTGATGGTCACTTAGCTTGCCAGCTCGAACGCATCTGCTTACAACGTCTCATACTTTCAAATACCATATTCATCTCATGTCCACCAGATTTTCTCCCACAACTACCTCAAACCCTAGAGATGGCCGCTGCCTCGCAGAATATCGTCAAGAGAGTAGCAAAGATTTGCCCAGAATTGGTCCCAACACTCGCCGTGAAAGGGGTCCCAGCTTCCAGCGCAGTCCTTCATCGCTCACTTAAAAGCGCTCCACCTCACGTGGTATCGGCAAAGGGCAAACATTTGACATTTTCCGATGGCCGAACCATCCTAGATTCAACATGCGGCGCAGCAGTAGCGTGCATAGGATCGAACAATGAACGGGTCAAAAAGGCTATGGTTGAGCAGATTGACAAGTTCGCCTATTGCAACTCTATGTTCTTTGGTCACGAGATTGGGGAGAAGCTGGCTGATGAACTCATTGACGGGACAGGCGGTGCCATGTCGAAGGCGTACATTATGTGCTCTGGTATGCTTCTTGAACCCAGCTGAGTAAACAGAATCGAACTAGCGGACACTGACTCTATTGTGTGAATATAGGCTCCGAGGCAATGGAATCTTCGATGAAGATGGCACGACAGTATTTCATGGAGCTGTCTCCACAAGAGCCAAAGCGAATCAACTTCATTGCGAGAGAAGGATCTTACCATGGCACGACTCTTGGCTCTCTATCAATGAGTGGTCATGTCGCGCGCCGGAGTCTATTCCTCGATATGTTACTTCCGAACATTTACAGAGTGTCTGCCTGCAACCCTTATCGCGGCATGAGCGAGGGCCAAACCACCGAGGAATACATCGCTCAGTTGGCCGATGAGTTAGATCAAAAGTTCCAAGAGCTTGGCCCTAATACTGTGTGTGCGTTTGTAGCAGAGCCTATTGTTGGTGCAGTAAGTTTTCAATTTGTCTGTCACAAGTATCAAAGTCTTGCTCGTTCTAAAAGCCCCTGGTGCAGACTCTAGGTTGTGTTCCGGCCCCACCTGGATACTTCAAAGCCATGAGAAAGGTTTGCGACAAGTATGGCGCCCTTCTCATCTTAGATGGTAAGAAATAGTCATCTATGGCGTACTACTGAATTCATGTATATCTGTGCTGGATGCTGACATGCGCAAAGAGGTCATGTCCGGCATGGGCCGCTGCGGCTCCTTGCATGCTTGGCAACAGGAAGGGGTTGTCCCCGATATTCAGACACTTGCCAAGGGTCTCGGTGGCGGCTACGCGCCCATGGCGGGCATGCTTATCAACCACCGCGTGGCTGACTCCCTCAAGAATGGTAGCGGGTGAGAGGTCCTAACCTTCCTCCACGTGTGACTCAAGGGTCGACTAACCACCATCTAGCTCATTCTCACACGGTCACACGTATCAAGGCCATCCGGTGGGATGTGCCGCCGCACTAGAAGTCCAGCGGATCATTCGCGAAGAAAATCTTATTGAGAACGTTCGAAATCAGGGCGCTCTGCTTGAGGCGCGCTTGAGGTACTACCTAGATGACCATCCTCATGTTGGCAACATCCGAGGCAAAGGCCTCTTTTGGGGGGTAAGTCCATCAGAGCCAGTACAGTCCCAATTGCTTTTTCGAGTGAACTCACCGTCTCCTCTTTTTAGATCGAGTTCGTCATGGACAAACAAACCAAAGAACCATTCCCAAGATCTGAGGATATTGCCAATAAAACCCATCTCATTGGGTTCAAAGATTTCGGTATCAGCTTGTATCCTGGAATGGGAACGAAAGATGGTATTTTGGGCGACCACGTCCTTCTTGCGCCGGCATACACCAGCACTGGTGAAGAGATTGAGGAAATCGCATCCAGGACTCGAGATACTATCTTCCAGGTATTCAAGAGCATTGGAACTTCAACCGGTGTTTGACCATTTTGCAGCCCATTTTACATGTATGTACCCTCTAGCAATGGTAATGATCAGCCGAAGTCGCCCCTAAGCCTTCAAAGATCCGACTTTACTTTCAGTCAGTCAGACGAGATTATCAGAAAGCCGTTGTGAAGTACGTTTCCAGCAAAGTCCCATTGGCTATGGACTCTTCTGCAAGCTTTGTCTCATGACATTTCGTTGCTGAAATTCTTGCAATGGTAGGACAGGAGGATCGCCACCCATAGTGCCCAGTCACCACCAACTGCAAGCTAGCGGCGGCCTAGCCATCACACCCTGATGCGTCAGCAGGCTTCTGCACCAACATTTCGCGCCTTGTTGAATCCTCCGAGTCTTCACTTCTATGCCCCTATTCTTGAGGTGAACATAAATAACGGAACTTTGCTCGAAGAGCACGACTAGCCACCATGAGCCTCCACCCAAGGTGTGTGGGCGACGTAACCTTCAACACCCTCTCTTCAAATGCAGTCTCCGAATGGCCGGGGTCCATCGCCGGCATAATATGCAAGACTCCACCCGTCGGCCGCAACGGCGCCCCGCGCTTCGCCGAGTGCTGCTCCGGCACGGTCTACAACATTACGAGCCCAACTTCGCCCAGCGACAGCGCGTACCCAGTCTCGTGCGCTATTCTTTGCCAAATCAGTCCGCAAATGAACGCCGATAACCCGCGAAACCCATATGGGTTCAGCGACCACTTCATGTGTCTCACCGACGGCACCAGGGAGCCCTCGTCTGGGGAGGTCGTCTGCGCCACGGTGACGCTGCTGGGTGTAGCGTGGCCTACGGTGTTTCCAAATACGCCCGTTCTCTCGTGGACGACCAGATCTTGGACGACGGATATTTACTCACGGATCAGCGAGGTTACGTCTCTTGATGACAGCCAGACTGGATCGCCCACTGCGACGGTGTCTACGGATGTTGCGACAACTTCGTCTTCTCAGAGACTTTCTATCTCACCGTCAGAATCAAACGCCGCATCCACCTCGCTTACCACAGCGTCGTCAACAGCGACAAGCGCGGCTGTGGCGACACCGACGGGTAGCAGTGCCGCCACAGGTGCAAAAGTGCATGCGAAACACCTCATGCTGAGCGTGCTGCTTCTTGTAGGCGCTTTCTGTCGCGCTTAGAATAGTTTTCCCAATCGATCGAGTCAAGAGAGTTAACGGACTTGTGCTGTCAAAGGCCCCGAGCAGGCAGCGGTCATCCGTATCGGGCTTTTCATCGCTGATGTCGGGACGTCCCCATGGATATGACTCGTTTTTCAAGCTTAAAGCCGAGGACTAAGGTTGGGATTGCTGGCCACGGAATGCTGAACATTATGTAGTGGTCCGTGATCAATATTATTGACTTTGCTTGGATAACCTTGTTGAGATCTTTAGCTGAAACCCGACGACACTCGGGATATTTTCAATATTAGGTTGCCAAGCTTTAAGACAAGCATCCTTCTCAGTGCTGGGCCCACCTATCCAATGTTGATGGTCAAATGATCAACTCATCGTCTCACCGCTAGTTTTTCCAATTTGTTGTCACTCATATAATCATGAAAGGAACATGGAGAGTTGAGCACATTTCACGTACGACGCCTCAGAGACTTGTCAAATGAGCAGTGAAATTATCCCATTCAGTCTTGAAACTTCTCGAGTGCACGCTTAGTAAAATACTTGTTCTACCTCAAAGCATTGAATACCTTACGTGAGCTACTCAGAATCCGAGAGTCTGTCCCGCCTCCTTGGTTACAGCAGCCTTCACATTGGCAGAGCCAAGCAGGGAGTAGGAGTAAGGGGGGCTATTAGCATTCAGCGTGCCAACTGATGCAGTGTTCTGGCTTTCACCACCAAGGACAACATCAATGGCGACAGCATATCTGTGGGGCGAAACTGTTAGGCCTGAACTTTACCAGCTTAAGGTCAGTCAAAGTGGTTGAACAGACTTACCCGATCTCCTTGCTAGACTCGCTAAAGATGGCCTTCTTTCCAACATTCTCAAAAACTGAGCTCTGGATAAGAGCTTGTGCGCCCATGCGGGTGTTAAGGCCAGTGTCCATGGTATTGTAAAACTGGTTGTAGACATGGGCAGTGCCAAATCGCAACAGAGGACCGCGGCTGCGGACGTTGTAGAAATGGTTGTTGGCATAGGTGACATGGAGAGTTCCCGTATCCTCAGCGGCATTGCTATCAGAGTGACCAACGAGAGAACCCTTGGAGTGATCATGGAAATACGTGTGAGAGATTGTGACCCAGTCGGCGGCGTGGGAGAGATCAGTTAAACCATCGTAAAAGTCCTTATCGCCATCGCGGGTAGCAGACAGATCGCAATGGTCGACCCACACGTTCTTTGACAGCTGGATGGTGATGGCGTCGCCGTAGTCTGCTTCGACCTTACTAATCTTCATGTTGCGGACGATGACATTCTTTTGGCCAAGGATAGTGAGGCCGATGCCCTCCAAGGCTATGAACAAGTTATATGAGCGTTATGTAAGTCAGACTGAGTGGCGTCACTTACAGCTACCCGTCTTGCCAACAATGGTCTTGTCAGAGCCAACTTGGACTTTCGCCGCGCCAACAATGTTTCCTGACACAATCACAATTCCTGGGCCAGATGCAATCGCCGCAGCGGAGAGTTGAGCAAGGTTCGTTACTGTGGTCGTAATTCCTCCGGCACCACCCTTTGTTCTAAGTGCCACAGATCAGTATAAGTCATCGAGAATTACAAATGTTATGTCTCCCCACCCGCCATTCTGAGTGGCATAACCAATGTTTGCCGCATCCGTGATGGCAGCCCTCTTATTCAAGAGATGAGCTTCAGGGTTCGTCGGGGTGGGTGAAGCCGATACGGCGGCAGCCAGCAAGGCCCAGGATGCGAAACCGGACAACTTCATGGCGAAGAATACTAAGAGAGACAAAGTATTTACAAGGAAATCAAGTTTCAAGAACCCAGTGGAGCGCTGGGGATTAAGCTTATGCTATTTGGCAAACATGCGGACGACGATCACTTATATGCCGATCGCTAAAAAAAAACCCAGCAGCATCATGATATGACTTCTTTACTCCACATCTCGTCCTGATTCTCCTCAACTGTTTAATTGATATGAAGCCAAGACACACACCAGAGGAGAATATCAAAGCCGACGCATCTTTTACTTGGCATAGTGGCATTGTCTTCCTCCAATGCTAACCATTCCGAGCCTTTCCAAATGCCCTCTTAGGTGGAATGGCCGGGGTATTTCAATTCCCCCGAATGAGACGACATCTTCTCCTTTCTCAACCATGCTTCAAAAACTCAACCATGGTCACTCGCTTGAAACGGTAACTTACCAAAAGCGTAACGGACGCAACGTGAGGCCTTTCTTCATTGGACCAGCAATCTATCCGGTTGTCTTGTCGACCGGGCTGTCGATCCCCATTCACACAGTAAAGGGGGCATTCTGCGGAGAAAATTGTTGTTGGAGGAAAATTGCCGGGGTTAACCGCCCACTTTCCCCACGACGAATGGCGAAATAAGGCGTGGGGGTCCGGTGAAAACGTGATCAACTTCGGGGTGCTGCGCTCCATGGTCTCCACTTTGCCCCGGACTGATCGGGACCGGCACGGCAACCGCATCGGTGGATCATAATAGCGCACATCTAGCGTTTGGATCACCGTACTTAGTTCTCGGATTAAGATGATCAACACCTCTAGCGCCGAATGTCTACCGAAAAACGGACGAACGAATCTGGTAAGTACGTCGGCGACTGACAGATAGTTGAGCTCTGAGCTCTCACTGCGATTCGGTGACGGGTGAGACGTCCGACAAAACTCCAACTCAGGAGCCATTGGCTTACATGATGGGCTTATTTCGAACATCTGCAAGCCCTCAACTCTCATCCCGGGCGAGGACACGGCCGAGCCTCACAGTGGTGGGCGTCTCGTACGAGAGGGAGGCTGTACGAGAATGGGAAAGAAGAGACTCACGGCCGAATCTTGATCTTTGGAGACTTTTTCTGCGTCGCATGTGGCTGCATGGACGAGGCAGAAATCAAAAAAAGCCAAAATGGTTCGTCCTGCATTCCTAAAAACCATGGGCTTTGCATGTTTCCCATGTGAAATCCCGCCCTGGTGTCGCTACAGTTGAGAACGAGCGGGAATGAGTTGCTCCGAGCGTCTATACACGATGTGTTTGGCTCCAATTTCACAGGTGGAAATAGGATTTGTATTGAACTCATTTAGGCCATAAAGAAGCTTTGGTCACAAACAGATGTGAGGGCTGCGACCCCTATCTTAATGCTTGATCAAAATGAACCGATTGGCTACTTAGGGCTCACAGTGTAGGGCTGGATCAAGATGCCAACATCTTATCAGGAAAAGAAAGGAAAACAAGCATTCAGCAGCATCAGGGCGGCACGATCCGGATTGGTCTGGACTGGACTGCTTGAGCATGCCGCGTACGTTCAGGTTTCACGGCATCCCTCAACGCTTTTCTTTTTCGTTCGGGGCTGGTGCGGAAGGACCTCCCTGACTCTATTTTAGATTTCATCTCAAATCATCAGCTTGCTCGAAATACACCTGCGACGTCGGGTGAAGTTGCTCCCCAAGGGAGCACGTGGTATTTCATAGGAAGCAAGATAATTTCCCAGTCAGATTATAGTAGTCTGTGGGAATTGCAAAGGCTCTTCAAGTCGAGTGTCACAGGTCTGTTTGGTGGTTCCATTCCAGCTTGCTTGTAGATTACCCTATTTTCAACAAACAGCCACTCAATCGGCCTTTTGGGGATCCGAATAGTTGTCACAGAACACAGTGCTGTTTCAGGTTTACTTTTGTACTTTTGTGCTTTCTGCTGGTTGGGGTTTCCGTCGCGAGTAAGGACGACATGTTGAACGACTTAACTCTTGTAATATTTGAAGCCTAGCCAAGTTGCAACTGAGGCGTCCAGAGTTAAGCTTCATAACAAGCACGTCAAACTTATTCTTGTTCATGTGTCTGGTACCACCACTCATTAGTCAATAACATCTTCAAGTACTCAAACCGGTTTGGGAGATGAGATTAGATGGTTAGAAAGTCGTCGCTTAATTAAATAGCAGCTACCGTAAAAGCATGCACCACCTAGTCCGAGCCCGCGTTTCGACATTCACAGTGGTTTTTCGGCGATGGAACGAACTCAAGCCCTCTGCCCTAACCCCAACATCATCCGTTTCGCCAGATCTGTCTTGGAACCTGCACTGGCCGGAAGGTGAACAACCAATGGAAGAGCTGACGTTGTCACAGCGCCCCTGAGCCGACTTCAGTGAAATCGAACGGAACTAACCACATTCTCTGTCTTCGCCTCTCGCCGGACTTTTCCCGAAAATACTGTTCGATTTATTCTTATGACAGCTCGAGCTACCGATGCAGGTACAAATGTTCGATGGCCAAAATTTAAAGAACTCTGTGGCCCATAAATTTGTTCTAGAAAATTTGTAAACGTGCCGTTTGTCAACTGGCGGTCTGGACCAGCCGTTGGATTTTTACTGTTCTTACATATGTAGAGCCTTCGAGCTGGGTTTAGGATTCCAGGCAATCACAAGCCTATGTGGCACTTGATGTGGTGAGGCTGATACTCAGGGGTACCAGGCCTTGATCAAAAACTTGAGCCAGGGTATGCCGACTTCTTCGAAGACTTGACTTTCGCACCCGCCCTCTCCAACCTCACCCATTCAGCCAAATTGGGCGGCTGTTACGGCTTCTTGCGCATTGAAAGAGGGTATCCTAGCAATCTCAATCGAGATTGCGTAGATCATCACCCACTTTAGGGGAATTTCTCACAGAACTCCAACTTGGTCGTTTTAATTCGGAAGGCTGTTGGCACTTTGTCCAACCTCACTTCTGAGCAACCAGCCACACGACATTGACTCGACGGCAAGCCACTGGATCGCGGTGCCAACTCATTGTGGCCAGTAATTGCCAAGAGGGGGGAACTTTTGCCACCTGTTTGACACAACTCTTCTGCCACCATTGTGTCCGGCTCGTCGCAAATGGGGCAGAGTGTCGTGGCATCAGTGGAGATTCTGCAGTCATCTGCAAAGACCTGACATGTTCAGGTCATGAGGCTAGTTTTCTCGCAGAAGAAGTAACTCTAGTGAAGGGATTCCCATACCTGAGGTAGTGCAGAATGCCAACACCGCCGAAACCTGGTCCAGGACTCTTCACCCACTTGGACTCATTGCGATGAGACTCAGAAGAGCCTTTTGTCTGCCACACTCTGTCACGGAAAGACTGGAGAAAGGGGGTTGGCGCCCGCCACCATCTTGGCACTGGCACGTTCAACCTCTCATAGAACACTTTCATTATGACCTCCCAGCCTACCTTTCGTCGCTGTTCATGGACAGATGACAGCCTGGGGTTAATGGCGGATGGAGGGGGCGCACAGATAAGAGTGAAGGGAGTACGGGAGTGGTCGTAAAGCCATCGG